TTAACTTTTATTTAATGAAGAAACCATAATGGTCGTGGACAAAGTATAGTATTAGACAATTTATGGCCATTATTTACTCGGGTGACTTGCGACTCTCGCCTACGGCTCAGGACGCAAACGTCATCCTGCGTGAATAATGGCTACCATAAATTGCTCGTTTAATAATATACTATTATGAACCAGAATAAAACTTTTAGGACAATGTAATATAAACATTTGAATCTATTTTGGTTCGTATATTATTAAGTAGTTCTTTGTTCATCCAGTCTGAGCTTATTTGTTAGTTATCATTGTTTTGTTTTGTGTTTTTTTAGTGTTTTTATAGGTAGTTACACGTTACCCAGCAGTTGATCAACTGAGTTTGTTTATTAAATTTCATTTTGTTCTTGTTTGTGGTGGCGCAAATAGATTATGCTTTTATGCTTAAGTAGGCCTTAAGGATAAAAGCATAATCTATTCGGGTGTTGGCCACTTGGTCGCCGCGGTTAGTTTTGTCAGCGGGGTTCCGTAATCTCATCGACCACTTGGTCTCCAGTTTTAAAATCAGGTAGGCCTCTTGGTCGCCGTAGTTATCAATCATTAAAGGTATCTATTTCGATTTATTGAAAATAATATTTAAAAAAAAAAAATAGTTTAACTGATTTTTATTATTTTCCACGTGAATAGAAATTTTTAACTGATATGATATGGTACAGAATGTGGGTCAGGAAAAGAATAAAACCAAATTAAAAAAACACTTATAATTAATAGAAAACAATATAAAATTATACATAATAAAAAAAAGTAGGTACAAAATACACAAAATACCAAATAAAAATTATTTAAGAAACCCAAATTGCAATTAGTTTTTGTAATGATAAGAAACTACTTTGATAAATTGAGTTCGTGAAAGGATCTTATTTTTATATTGTTCTATTACGTTCGTTAAATACGCATGCCGTTTTTTGTAATTAGCGTTTTTAATTTTGTTAGGTATATGTGTACTGTTTAATTTCACATAAGTATTTAACTGAATATCGAGAATTACATTAACAAATTTGAATATATCGGGATGCGCCGAATAAAAAGCAGAATTAAAATGTTTGTGGAAAGACTCACAAGCATTTGTTGTGCGTTCTGTGGAACTTGTGCACGATGCCCACATTGTAGGCGGGAAGTCAGACGTATCGCTAGTATACGTATTAATCATATAAAGAGTATATGAAGTTAATCTCTCGTCAAATGGCATTATTGGAATTAAATCTTTACAAAAACACTCTGCCACTTCAGTACTTTCCAAAAATAAAATGCCGAATGTGTAATGAAGCCATTTGCCGATTTCAGAATTTTCATTTTTATATTCGGAAATCAAACCCAGATTTTGTATCTTACGTAACCACGATTGGGTTAAATGAAATCTACATCCAATAATTAAGATATCAGGCCAAATCTGTATAATACCAGTGTGTATGGCTTTCTCAAAATCGCAAATAACTTTACACAGCTTCCAATCTAAATTTAAATTATTATAACAGTAATCTTTTAATAATTTAAATGCAGTTGCATAGGTACTTGCTCTTTTATCTGGTAAAACAAAAAATGCCAATGGTATGTAGTGTCCGTTATCAACAGCATGTATAGTGAAAAATTGTAAAAAAAAATTTAGGGCAATAATTAAATGTGCCGTCGCAATAAATACTATCACGAGAACACAAGTATTTTAAATTTGAATCACATGAAAATAAAATAATTTGTGAATCTTCATTGTTAAATAATAAAAATTGTTCACCCTTATTTGTAACACATTGTATTGCTATCAGTACACTATGAACATCACTGATACACTTTGGCAAAGGTGGCAATATACTTCTTCTTGCCCTGTATATGCTTCGTCTGATGAGGTCAACATCCGTAGTGGATACATTAAAAGTATTTCCTTCCCCTCGGATTCCGTTATTAATTAACTTACTGGGTTTAACGCAAATATCTTCTGTTGCCTTTCTTTTCAATCCGTTTTGAAGTTTTTTACATCTAAATGGTCCGATGGTGGATGATTGTGTTCACTCTTAGATTTCAATAAGACAGTTTCCGAATCGTCCACTCCAATAGTCGCTTTACACCCACGACGAGTACACTTATATGATACACCTAACTTTGTTTCCTTGTCTTTTCCAAATGTATATTTTTTTACAATTAACAACTTTTTTCCTTTTACACTTAACATCGACTCCATTGCAACACAAACTCAAAACTTCTTTTATGGAATAATGAATAAGATGAGAATCACTTTTAAAATAAAAAAATTAATCTTTTCAGTATGAATGCAGACAGTTAACTGATGAAAAATATTTTTATTTTAGTTCTCGACAGGTCACAAACCGATATTATAATTAGAGTAATTAAATAACCCCATAATTTTCTTGGAACCCTTAATCCAGGTTTGGAGACCAAGTGGCCTATACCTTTCGAATAGCGAAAGGATTAAATTTGGGTAAAACTGACCGCGGCGACCAAGAGGTATATTCCCATCTATTCGCTCCATTATTTATCCATCATGATTTAAAAAGCAGTTGAAGCGATTGATACTGTTGACAGTTGTAAGCAAAACATGTTTGACGACGGTGAAGACGGTCAATAATAAGTAATAGTAATAATTCATTTTATTGACCTTAAATTAACCATTTACGAAAAAATCTGATGTGTCCAACACATGACTTTCCTATCTAGTTATTACAGGCTTTTCCCGATTATTTTGTACAACCTATTGCAGCAACTCTGTAAATGTTTAAAGGATAAACTAAATATATACATTTACATACATCTAACTCGAAACATTTTTCGATATATATTCACTGCAAATGAAAACACTGAAAAAATTTAATTTTACACTTTTCCTCCAGTTTTTCTATTACGGTCCATTTTAGAGAAATAATGTAAAAAACAAAAATGATAGAGATCGATATTGCAAACAACATTTAGTTTACCAATTTTCTTAAAAATCAGAATTTGCACCTCTTATCAAATTTCTCGAATACGGTCCGTTTATGAAAAAAATTGTAAAAAGTGAGAATTATAGAGAATAATATTAAAAGTAACTTTTATTTAAAGAATTTTCTTCGCCAAACATAAATAACAGATATATTCAATAAAATATAAAACGACCTCCCATTAAGTAACCCCGTCCCCAGATGTTCCGACTTTGTCCAAAATCTAATCAATTCACCACAGGTCGGAATAACGCTTCAATTTAACAAATAATGTTTTTTCTTTATCCGCTTTCGAGTTTTCTTCAAAATTCTAAATTTACACTAATTATCAAATATCTCGAATTCGGTCCACTTTAGAGAAATTATGTATAAGACAAGAATTATAGAAAACTGTATCACAAACATATATATATATATATATATATAAATAATTTTCATTAAAATTTGAATTTTTTACATTTTGTCAAATTTCTTGAATACGAACCATTTTAGCAAAATTTTGTATATAACAAAAATTGTAGAAAATATTATTTGAATTAACTTTTATTCAAAGAAATTTCTTCTACAACCGTAAATAACAAATATATTCCATAAAATATAAAAATGACCCCCTATAAAGTACCCCCAAGTGCCAACTGCTCAAAATCTAATCAGTTCACCGCAGGCCGGAATAAGACTTAATTTTAAAATTTGGTATTTTTCTGTTTATCCGTTCATGAGTTATCGAGTATACAGACACACACACAGACAGCATCGCGAAAATAGTCAAAACGGATTCAGGGGATCCCAAAATGTAAAAATCCGTCAAAAAATCGATATCAAAAAAAATCATGATTACTATACTTTCCTTATCTGTATACAGATAGGAAAGTAAAAAAACATACAATGTAAACAAAAATACAGAAGAGATAATAATAATAATAATAATAATAATAAAATTTAAACTATGCTGCAATAATCAGTGTGATAAATTTATTTTATTTTCAATAAATATTTTAAGTACTTTTTCAGTTGATTTTAAGAATATAAATTGGCTTAAAAGTTTGCTCTTACTTTTAACTCTTCTCAACTAATTTGTGAACCCACAAATGCATTTGAAAGGCCAGGATCGATGTTTTCACATGCATCTTGTTCCAATTTTCACGTAAATCCAGCCAGAAAAAACAAAACTCAACATTATATTTAATATCTAACAAATTACGTTCTTATATTTTGTAATATAAAAATGAAACATTTTACAAAATCTCTACACGTTTTAAATGTTTCTCCAAAACCAGACTTAACACAATTTACCTAATTTTTGTAATAAAATAACGAACTTCCTTGCTTCCGATACTTCATAACAATATGACAACGTTGCTCGATATAAATTTGATATTTTCAGGTGGCGTCATCTATATAAGATTGCCTGAACCTAAAATTACAGGGATTACACCTGTTTTATGTAATGTTGGTTGCGTTTTTTGGGTTAAAATTAAAAATTTTTGTGCATATAAGACTGGAAAATGAAAGCAAAAATGAAATATTTCTTATGCGGAATAGCGATTTATGATGACTTTTTTACATGTAAAATTTTCACAAATTCGTTATTTTCTTCATTCTCTCAATTTTTTCCACTTTAAAATATATTCAGGAACTAGTTCAATACTATTAGAATATTATAAAAGCAAATCCGCATAAATTCATTGTCTAGAAAGCCCGTCTTATGTGTTGAAAAATTCTCCTATGCTAATACATTTGCTAACGCCGCCTTAATGTTTTCTGTTGCTTAAAGTGACCTTAGAAAGTAAATGTTGTACATTTAATTTTTTTTTTGCAAATTTGTACGCTACTGATTTTAAACCCCAGTTTAATCGGTACGTCGATATCACATCTTATCCTCTCTTGCACATGCGAATACTGTTTACTATTCACTTCAATACAAGCAAAGTAGGACCGAAGGTTTGATTTTACCAGTATCGTATTTAAATTACACACTGTAGATTGGAAAAATATTTTAACAAATAATAATATTAATATTTTTTTTTTTTTCAGGTTGGAACGATGTATTAGAATCGCTAATGATCGAGTATCCAGACTGTGATCCACATTACAAGCATCAGAGTAACGGTGATTGTGGTTATCCATTGTTAGCAATAATATATTTTACCAGTTTTATTATTATAAATTATATGATAGTTATTAATATGTACATTGCAATTATTCTTGAAAACTTCAATCAAGCTCATCAGGAGGAAGAAATCGGAATTGTCGAGGACGATTTGGAAATGTTTTACATTAGGTGGAGCAAGTGAGTGACAAATGTTTATACTTATTCTTTAAGTACATTAATTTATATTTGTTTTTAAGGTACGATCCACATGCTACGCAGTTCATCCGCTTCTCGCAGCTGTCGGAATTCATAGCGTCCTTGGATCCTCCGTTGGGCATATCGAAGCCGAATACGGTAGCCTTAGTAAGTTTCAACTTGCCGATCGCTAAGGGCAATAAGATTCATTGCCTGGACATTCTCCATTCGCTCGTCAAACACGTGCTGGGACACGTCGAAGAGACTGACAATTTCCGACAGCTGCAAGAACAGATGAGCGTCAAGTTCAAGAAGCAGTTTCCGACCAGGAAAGAACTGGAAATTGTGTCGTCGACGAGAATTTGGAAGAGGCAAGACAAAGCTGCTAGACTTATTCAGAGGACGTACAAAGATTATGTGAAGTAAGTTGTCCAATATTTTTAAATCCTAAAAGTACATAAATTCATAAATCCATAAAGTCCATAAATACATAGGACTATAAATTATGAGTTCATAAGTTCATGAAGCCATAAGGCCATAAGTTCAAAATTCAAAAGCCCAAAGTCTGAAAATCACAGTTAAAAAAGCACAAAAAAAAGTCGAAAACATTTTTTTATTAAAAAATGTTGATGCTTTAAAATTTTTTATGAAAACTCCAAAAAAGCCCAAACAAATTATAATTGAAATTAAAAAAAAAAAAAAATAAAAAAATAGGAATTATATAAAAATATTTAGTCAAAATTAAAAGTTTTTCGCAAATTTATTTATTTTTTAAGTTTTATAGTCATCCCTTTAACCTATAGTTGTAGATATTTTTTCAGTATTAAATCGTCGTTTTTTCCTTCAGAGAAAAAAATAGTGTATTATACACGGGAAAAATATTAGATTTTAGCTCTCGATCTAAAATCTAATACTTTTTTCGTATTTTTTTTTAATTTGGTGTCATCGGATTCGACTACTACGGCCGTTAGCCTCTTGTTCTGGGTAGGCTTTATTACTGTTTCTCAGCGCCACTTTAGGAACCGCACTGTCAATTAGAACCCAACAGTGAATGGCCGAGTGGGAAATCCTACCAAGGCATCAGAATTAATTTTAAATAATTAAATTAAATTAAAAAATCCCGGTTAACGGTGGGATTCGAACCTGGAACCCTTGGATCCACAGGCAGAGACTCTACCATTGAGCCACCCACCCTATTTTTTTCGTATTGAAAAAAAAATAAGATTTCTATAAAAAAAGTTTTTTATAAATTATTTATTTATTTTATTTTAATTTAATTCTGGCTTCTGCAAATAGTTAATTTGATTTAAAATTCGAAGTTTTATTTTTAGGTTTCCTTCTATTATTTTTTTTTAAGTTTTGAAAAAATAAAAAAATAATTATTGATTGTCTTCTCTATTGGTAAACGGTCCATTCTTTTTGCATTCTAAGTATTTATAGTGTTACTTCAAATTACTTTAAAAATAAGAAAATAACTTTGAAAATTTTGTTCAATTTATATTTATATTCGCTTAAATATAAAAAATTATATTTTTTAATTTAATTGTATCTTCTCGAGTTGTTTAAACAATTTTAAATTGTTAAATTCGAGTTTTATTTTTTTGATTTTGTTTTTTAGGTTTTTTTTTTAAGTTTCTTTAAGTTGTTTTGAGCTTAAGTGTTCCTTTGCTTAAGTCGAGACATTTTTTCTCTAAAAAAATATTGAACATTCAAAAGTCAAAAATTTTGAAAAAAAAATAATTTCTATAAATAGTTTTTTGTAAATTTACTTATTTTTAACTTCTATATTCATCCCTAAAACCTAAAAAATTATATTTAAATTTAATTCTGTCTTCTCCAGTTGTTAAAATATTTTTATATTAATTTAATGTAACATTCGGATTTTAATGTTTTTTAGTTTTATGTTTTTAAGTTTTCAGTTTTTTAAATTTTAACAAAAATTAAGTTTTATTATTATATCTCATTTTTAAACGGTCCATTATTTATGTAATCTTTTTAGTTACTTAAAATTTCCTTAGAAAGAAGGAAATAACTTTGAAAATTGAAAATATAAAGTTTTTTGCAAATTTATTTTTTCAATATTTATATTTATTTTGTAATTTTAGTAAATTCTAAATTTTTTACGCGAGTTAAAATTTAAGAATTATTTACAATTCATTTAAAGTGCTAATAAAAAAATAAACTTTAGTGTTGTTCTATTTTTTCTATTTCATAAAATATATATGTTGAATCTTAAATTAAATTTTTATCAAAAGTTTGGAAAAGCCCAAAACAAATTAAAATTTTTAAAAGAAAAATGAATTTCTATAAAATAATTTGGTCAAAATAAAGTTTTTTATTTGTTGTTTTAAGTTTTATTATTGTTCTATATTCTCTATTGTTAAACGGCCTATTCTTTATGTATTCTAAGTATTTTCAGTTACTTTAAATTACCTTACAAATAAGAAAATAACTTTGAAAATTTTGTTTTTGCAAATTTATTTATTTTTAAGGTGTTATATTCATCTTTTAAATTTAATTCTCTTCTCGAGTTTTTTAAACAATTTTAAATTGTCAATTTAATGTAATATTCGAGAAGTTTTTAGGTTTTTTTAAGTCTATTAAAGTTTTTTTAAGTATTTTAAGTTTTTTTTATGTTTAAATCGATAAATTATTTCTCTAAAAAATATCTGTTAAAAGTCCAAACAAATTAAAATTTAAAAAAATAAGATTTCTATAAGTTATTTTACAAATCATTTATTTATTTTATTTTAATTTAATTGTGGCTCCTGCAGTTATGTAAATTGTTTATTTGATTTTATTTTTTTAAGTTTCTTTTTCTTTTAACTTTTATTTGAGAACATTAAAAATAAGTTTAATTATCGTTCTATCTTCTCTATTGTTAAACAGCCCATTTTTATGTAATCTAAGTAATTTTAGCATTACTTCAAATTACTTCAGGAAATAATTTTGTGCAATTCAAAATTCAAAGTATTCATATAAAAATCTAAAAATTATATTTTAATTTAATTCTGCCTTCTCCAGTTATTAAAATAATTTAAATTTTGAGTTTTCATTTAAGTTTTTTTTATAGGTTTTTAAGTTTTTTTAGGTCATTGGGGTTTTTAGGTTTTTAGGTTTTTAGATTTTAAGGTTTTTGGGTTTTTAGGTTTTTGGGTTTTTAGGTTTTTAGGTTTTTAGGTTTTTAGGTTTTTAAAGTGTTTTATGTTTCTTAAGTTTTTAAGATTAAGCTTTTTTAATTTTTTAAGTTTTTTTAGGTTTTTAAAAGTTTTTTTAAGTTTTTTTAAGTTTTTTTAAGTTTTTTTAAGTTTTTTTAAGTTTTTTTAAGTTTTTTTAAGTTTTTTTAAGTTTTTTTAAGTTTTTTAAGTTTTTTTAAGTTTTTTTAAGTTTTTTTAAGTTTTTTTAAGTTTTTTTTAAGTTTTTTTAAGTTTTTTTAAGTTTTTTTAAGTTTTTTTAGGTTTTTTTAAGTTTTTTTAAGTTTTTTTAAGTTTTTTTAAGTTTTTTTAAGTTTTTTTAAGTTTTTTTAAGTTTTTTTAAGTTTTTTTAAGTTTTTTTAAGTTTTTTTAAGTTTTTTTAAGTTTTTTTAAGTTTTTCAAAGTTTTTGAAAGTTTTTTAAGTTTTTTTAAGTTTTAAGTTTCTTAAGTTAAGTTTTTTAGGTTGTTTTTTAAATTTATTAGGTTTAAATTTATTAGGTTTAAATTTATTAGGTTTAAATTTTTTAGGTTTCTTTTAAGGTTTATTAAATACTAATTTCTACTATTCTAATCATCTTAAACATTTTATGACCAAGATAAAAGAAACCCTTTTTAATGTGGATTTGATCCAAAGTTATACCTCCCTTTTTCTAAATTGTGTTAGTTGGCATTATTTTTTAATTTTTAAACTTTTATTACTTTTAATTTTAATAAATTAGGATTTTTATAAAAAATTTTAAAAAAATGTAAAATTGTCTTGAGAAAGGGGATTGATCATGTCCGGTCTATTTGGAAGTATTGTTTATTATTTTCTTTTCATAATTGAATACCTAAGGTACAAGAATGATTTTTTATTATTATTTTAGACGCAAAAAGGAAGCCGAACGGGAACAAGAAGACGAAACGACTCAAACATCGTCACCTGGTACCGGATGGCAAGGACGTTTGTCCGCGTTCCTTCATGTGCATCGAGGGAGTCGCGCATCCTCTCGCAAGTCCTCTAGGGCGTCCGACGCTAGCGACCTCAGCGAACTAGGCGGTCCATGGTTGAATCTGCCGCTGCTGTTGCTCTCCAGCGCCACCAACATGTCCCCCGAGGAATTGGATTTGACGCGCGACGCCGCCGATGTCAGCATCAAGGTTAGCGAGGCCACACCTGAGTCCGGTGAGTACCATTTGTTTCTACCATTCCTTGAATATTTACGATTTACAAAAATCTCTTATCATACAAACTTATAAAAAGTGGGGTGTAATAACAAAAAAATACCGCAAGGTCATCGTATTAGTTCAATATTATTTTGAAAATTCCGCTGAAAATTTTCGCATTTTAGGTACGACCCCGATAACGCCGACGCCTTCGTCGCAACCCCGCCGCAGAAGCGTTTACAGTTTTCCCTTCTTTCTGCGTCATCAGGACGCTGTAGAAAAGCCGGACGATAAAACGTCTCCGTTACTGGGTCACAAAGACATTAAAGCTTCACAAACGCTTCATCCCGTAGCACCCGAAGAATCTAAACCGAAAAGGGGCAGCGTTGTACGAAGAAAGCGATCGGGTTCCGTTAAGTCCCGGCCGACGTCGATGACGGGAAGCGGTTGCCATAGAACGCAGTCTGAAAAATGCACAAGGTAAAATTTTGAATGCACTTGGTTTCCGTATTTCTCATTTCTTTGATGCTTTCATTGTTCTGTCTTTCTTTAATTAAAATCTATATTCTTACCACTTTCTTATTTGGCGTATATTTTTCCTTTTACTTCTAACTTTCTTTTCCTTTTGGCAGTTTTTCTTGTTAAGTTTAGGAATCGCATGCGAGTGGTTTTGAAGTTTTGTTATTTTATTTATTGGTATTAATTTTCATTAATTTGAGTTTTTTAATGCTATCCCTTGCACTGAAGTGTCTTACATATGTTATTGCCAACTAAATTACAAACTGAAGCTTTACAATAGATGCGTGGGCGAATGAATAAAAAAGTTTCATTTTGATTGTAAGATTTAGTTGGAACGAGTAACAATAACGACAAGATAAGTGTATTTTAGAAAAAGATAATAACAATTTATTACTTAGTATTTTCTCTTCTAGCTCAAACAATAGCCTGCATCCTCCTAGGTATGCTACATCTTGGATTGTTTCTTATGGAATTCCATTCCAATCTGTGCTGCAATTTTTAATTCTGCAATTGAGTTAGGAGCTGGATTTCGTACACGTATGTTTCGCTTTAGGGTGTTCCATAGATGTTTTATGGGATTAGCATCAGAACTCATTGGTGGCCAGTCTAGTGCCTCAATCCAGACATCCTTAAGGTACTAGATCAGTGTTCTTGCGACAAGGGCGCGTGCATTGTCATGCATCAGCATAAAGTCATGTCTGTATGCGATTAAATTTAGGTTTCCCTTGGCTACGGATGCTAAGTTCATTAGCCAGAGCATAAAGTCATCGTATCCAATAAAGCCGACATAAGGTAAAATGTGTTCTTCAAGGATATTGCGTTATGTACCAATCAGTATCCATTCTTAAATTTAAGATCCGTGCGACTCTCCCAACTAACATTTTGTACGAGATAACATTCTGCGAACCGTTCCTCAGACCTTCTGGGTACTCGACCACGTCCATTGTTTCATCTGTAAAAAGGATTTTTTCCCATTATTGTTCATTCCAATCAGCATGGGCTTTTTTAAATCGTAACCGTCTGACTTTGTGACGCGGAAGAAGCCTAGGGACTCTAGCAGGACGTTCCGGATTTAAACCGACCTCCTTCAGTTTTCTTATAACGGTTTTGACACTTACGTTGACTTGTCTATCAATAGATAATTCATTTCTAAGACGCGAAGCGGTAAGTGAGCAATTTCGCAAGGATTTTATTCGCAAATATCGGTCATCCCTTGGCGTTGTACAACTTTTACGTCTTTTTGTATTCTCGTCTCATTATATCGGTTCAATATACGAGAAACAGTCGATTGATGGATATGTAATCTCTGCGCAATATTGTTGTCTGCGACCCTCACTGGCTAAAGTAACAATTTTAACAGAGTCTAACTCAGTTAAATGTGGCATCTTACTTGCCGAAACTACAGAAACAAGAAATAAATAACTGGAAATGTCATTCTCACAAGAACAAACAAAATAGCAGTCGTTGTTAGTCGACAAGGCACGCTATGATACTTTCGTGCTATGTTTCTAATTTGTACCACTCTCTAAACAATATTTTGTCGAAAATTAAATTAAATGAAACGTCAAACCCTTCAGTGCAAAGGATCTAGCAATAAAAAACTCAAAAAGTCTTGAAGAAAAAAAAAATAATATAAAAATAATGACCTTGTGTGAAGAGTAAACAAAAAATATTGAATAATTTTATATTGGGAATTTTACGATCAGTAACCGGCAACTGAAATGACCAGCTATGTGAAACAAACTTAAACCAGTTCTAAAGCTTATAGTAAATCTTCTAGTAAGATCTAAAGGCACCATATACGAATTTACCCTACGAATAAACTTAAATAATTATTATTGAGTCCACCCTATATTATTTATTTATTTATTTATTCCAGAAACAAACAGGCATGAGCCTATTTACATGTTCCTATAAATACAGCGAAAATAGAAATCAACAAAAATACATAATATCTAATTAAATATATAAGTGAAATTATAATAAACAAACCTCGCTACTACAAAATTTTAACAAAGTTCATTAAAGAACAAAACTACTGAAATAATCAGAAATATTCAGGAATAATCAGAGCGTCTGCAAAACCCCACACCAAGGCCACGGAAATCCTACAAGGTTATGTCTCTTTAATCGAGCCCAACAATTTTGTTAAGTTCCTTTCTATATGTGCTTATAGCTATATCAAAAATACCGCAAGAAATGCCTTCGGAGTGTACATTAAATAAAAGACAAATTTTTTCTACTGGACCATGATTATCCGCACGAAAAGTTAATTGACGGGGACGAATACCTGCTATTGGAACATTAATCTTTATTTGACTCAATAAATATTGACTGTCCAAATATCCATTTAATAATTTATGTAAAAAGACAAGGTTGATTATAGAGCGTCTATGTTCCAATTTTTCAATTTCAAACTCTTTTCTAATAGGTCCAAATGAAACAAATCCTGGACTTGTATGATACTTTTTAAAGTATAAATATTTGACAAGTTTATTTTGAATAGTTTCCAAAATGTGTTTTAAATTTTGTTGTGTAGGGTCCCATACAGTGGATGCATATTCTAATTTACTACGAACGAGAGCAAAAAATACATTTTTAATTGAGTGTGTGTCTGTAAAGTCCCTAGTCGTGCGTTTCAAAAAACCTAACAATTTGTTAGCTTCTTTGGCAATGTTATGGATATGCTCGTCAAATTTGAAATTATTTTGAAAAACTATTCCCAAGTCGGTCATTTTTGACACTCTTTCTAGTGTTGATCCTTGCATTATGTAGATAAAATTTTGAGGATTACGAATGTTACTGAATGTAATAACCTTGCATTTGGAAAGATTAAAATGTAATTTATTTTCAAATGACCAATCCGAAATTGAGTCTAAGTCATTTTGAAGGTCTAGATAGTCATCTAGGGTGGATATTTTCTTAAAAACTTTCAGATCATCTGCATAAATTAGGCAGTCTGATGTAATACGTAGAGGAAGGTCATTAACAAATATTAAGAAAAGTAAAAGGCCCAAATTGGAGCCCTGAGGGACCCCAGAGCCTGCGAGGATTGTATGAGATACTTCACCACCAAACATTACGTATTGATACCTTAGGTTTAGATAAGACATAAAGAAATTTCAGTTTAGCTAGAAGAATATTGTGATTTACCTTATCGAAGGCTTTCTTAAAATCAGTATAAATACAATCTACTTGCTCACGAGAATTGACACATTTTGATATTTTATCACTGAAAGTTAATAAATTTGTATCTACAGATTTTTTACGACAAAATCCGTGTTGTTCGGTTGATATGTATTTTTGAAAGTAAGCATACAGTTTATCATATATTACAAATTCAAACAGTTTCGCCGTACAATTTAATATGGCTATGGGACGATAATTATCTATTTTATTTTTATCCCCTTTTTTAAAAATTGGTGTTAATCTCGTTCTTTTAAATTCACTAGGAAATATGGATGTTTTAAGCGACTTATTGAAAATTACCAGCAAAGGATATATTAAATAATCTTTACAAGCTTTTAGGATATAACAAGGAATATTATCAGGACCCGCTGTCTTTTTCGGTTTTAACTTTCGAAATGCCGCTTCTAAGTCTTTAACGGATATTAGATCGAAGTCAATATTCTGATAAAAATTTACGTTCCAATTGTTAGTCAAACCATTAATATCTATAAGGTTATAGTTTGAATCGTTGTCATACACTGAACTGAAATAATCAGCGAACTCCCCTGCTATAATTTTTTTGTCAGATATTTCCCTATTATTTATAATAAAATTTGATTTAGATATATTATTAGACCTCTTATCTTTAATGAACTTCCAAAAAAGCATGGGGTCCTGGTTAACACAGTTCTGCATATTTTGGATATAATTATTGTGCGCCGTCCTTATTTTCAATTTTAGGTCCGTCCTAATTTTTTTATATCTACTAAAATAATATTCCGATAGATGTTTTCTTTTTCTGAAAATTTTTTTGTACTTTATGTCGATTTTTATTTCATCCGTGAACCATGGCGGAAACTGTTTGCAATATGCATGTGGCCTATTAGTAAACTTTGGTACACATATGTGAAGCATTTCATAAAAAAACTGGTAAAAATATTTGACAGAATCATCAACCTTTTCAATGTGTCCAATTTTGGACCAATTAAAATCCCTTAGTAGTTCGCATAGTAATCTAAAATCAGCTTTTGTAAAATTATATCTGTTTTGAAGATTATTATTTGTGTATGTGAGTTGATTACTTTTTTTTACTTCCGTCTTAATTATCAGAGAGGGATGTTTATTATCTATGGAAACTAAAGGTTCTTTATTCTCCTTTATATTCAAATTCAAATTACCAAGCACCAGATCTAGAGTTTTTTGATCCTCATTGAGACAATTGTTGAAAGACTGTAGACTGTAAGTGGCCATTAATAGAGACATTGTTACTATTATATCATTTTTATTAGAAAATTGAAAAGATGTGCCATTTATGCATGGTATATTGTAATCACCAATAAGTACCATGTGTGTGGTTTGAGTGATTAAGGGATCTAAATTGTCAAATAAATCTAGATATTTCCTGTAGACTTTAGCATTTGCGCCCGGTGGAATATAAGTTGAATTAATAATGACTGTGGTTCTAGCATTGGTGTTAGCGTATATTTTGCATGATTCATAACATAACCTTAAACAATTGTTTATGTCTTATCTAACTGCTGCACGTTGTATTACATTAACATGTAACGTCTATCATAAAACTAAAAACTGACGTCAGGATCATCCTTATATAGCATGCTTGACCCTTCTCGAACCTTCTCGAACTGTCGTCTAGAATATTCTTGACGGGTAATGACATTTCTGGACTCTATCTTCTTTTACTTGTACTTTTACTTATGACGACCGCCGCACACTGTAGGGTGATGAGTAACATTCCACTTCTTTTTCTATTCGTTCGTTTTTTATACCAGCCGCAGGCTACTGCAGGGTGATTGTGTAACATTATTTATTAAACAACTCATAATATTTTCAATTTCAATTTAATATTTTTTTGTCAGTGCATAGCATTTATTACGCTTCATTAGTTTTTTCTCCGAAATTTTGCTCTCCGAACTTCAAAAGACTGACAATTTTTGTCGCTTCTCTGTTGTTATTCTCGGCCGACGCTTTATGCGATGTGACTAGGATCTGCATGAAAAGACGAATTTCACTAAAGACTACTAAATATAAGTATATTAATTTCTTCGTCTAATAGACTCTATGCCAATGACATGACAGTTTTTTCAGGAACCTGTGATACCGAATCCTTTGATGACGGAAATAAACCCTTATACCCTCTGTCTGTACAGAGATTTTATAAATATCTACCTTAATGCCATATTTGGCTACTTTATTTAGGATGTACTACTGGAATATCAGTCTTCCATGCCGAGGTACCAAAGACCCACGCAGATCTTTTCGCTGGGACGTATGTCTTTTAGTAATTCTAAATGAATTTATCCATCAATACTCTTACTTTATTATATATGTTACTAGGATCAACAGTAGTGTGGCTGACTGCCGTCTCGAAGCTCAATTGTCTATTATTGAGTTCTTTTAGGTTTGTCTGGTTCTATTTAGTGGAATCGATAAAAAATAAGTATTTTTTAAGACCGACAAAAATAATTCTTTATTCGACCTTAAGCAAAGAATACATATCCAAGAAGCGAAACTAAATGAGCGATTCGTGGATAAAAAACTGCTAGGTTTTCTAAGTGTTTTAGAGGTGGTTTAACGTCAAATAGAGCTGTCAATTTATGTAGAGCAACGTTTGGTATATTATAATTAGCGTTTTGTGAAAATTGCAGTATAGTTAAGTAGTTGTATTTAACTAAGTAGTAATTAGAAATCAGTTTTAAAATTTTTAATACAAAAAAAAATACAGCGTTATTCGTAAATTTTATTGAACGTGTTTGAATCTGGCTGTCAATGTTATTTTTTTAATTTCTAAATCAGTTTTACCTATAATGATAATTTACGCCTACGTATTAGCCATCGTTTAATTTCTTAGTCTTTTATTTAAATATGTGATTTTTTTCAAACCATTCGAATTAAAACAGTAAATAAACATAATACAAAACAATAATTAAAATATATGACCTCGAGGAACCAAGTCGCTGCTATTAGGATGCAATCGAAATGCATTTACAGACACCTACAGTTCTTCTGGATATGTAACGTGTAGAGGATGGGTTACCCCACGGCGCCACTGTGTATCCTCCTAAAATAATAGGCACCTCCTAGCTCGTAAGCCAGCCCACAGATTTAATGTAGTTGACAAGGTCACCATGAGGTGCTTCTCTTATATCGGCCGGTGTTAGCCAATACTCGCCGAAAAAAAATCTTCTAATAAATGAGACCGACTGACAATCGTAGAGGGTATGTTCAATGGTATCATCTTTTTGTTCGCACCCCATGCAGGGTGCGGATTCTGACAGCCCCATGATATGGATATGCTTCCGTATTTGGCAATGACCAGTCAGAATGCCTGTGAATAAACGCAGATTCTGGCTAGTCATAGACAAGTCGATGGCTCAACCAAAAACCGCCACAAGTCAAAAAACAAAAAAAATTACATTTTTGGTCCAATGGATGCAAAATAACATTAAAGTTTTACTTTAAATACCGCGACAAATAAAAATATCCTTAAATATGCCCAAAAATCATTTAAAATCTAGTCACAGACTGTGTCTAAAACTACCTCAATTCGAGTTATTTTCTGCAAAAACACCCAAATTTTATAAAAACTATGCAATAAACCGCTTTTATAATCATAATCGTTAATTTTAACAGCAAAATATCAAAGATTTTAAATAAAATATAAAGATTTTATGTCAAAAACAAAATAATGATAATAGAGACTTACAAATTTCAAAATGAAATTTCTCGAAACAATAGTTTTTGAGTTGTGGCAGTATTTGATTGAGCCATCGAAGTGTGTTTGTTTTAGTGTTGTCAGGATACTTAAAAGCTCCCTGGTATTTCAGGAGTTTCTTGTTTCATCCCATCTTTTCTTCAATTTCACAAGGGAATATTCTTTAATTAGGTCTGTCACTACCGATGTTGTCAGTTCAATAGAAGGGCCAGGTCCAAAATGTATTTGGTTGGCCGCCTTCTTGACTAGTGAATCAGCAAGAAGGCTACTTTTCGATCTTAAGGTGACCACATTGTTGGATGGATACTCTTGCCAAAGCTTCGTGGTATTCTAGTACTAACCCTGAGTAAATTCGTAGTCTCTTCAGGATAAGTAGTGCTTATCTGCTATCTGTATAGATGAGCATGTTGCTACGAATTATATTGTTTCTGGTGATTTATTTTGCTGCTATGAAAACCTCCGTGAGCTCCGTGAACTACATTGGCACTACTGCTGACAGCCCATTATATGTTGAGGTTCAAGGAATTGGAGTATATTCCACATCCTGAGCATTGTTTGGTTTTAGAACCATCGGTGTAGATATGAATCGTACCTGTCACTTCCGGCTCTTCTATTTTTTCTGTTATAACTTCATATGGCTTATGGAAGATATATCTCGGAGAGATGAAGTTCATGTTCACTTGAAGCAGTGGAAGCGTATCGAGTGCCTTTTGCGAAAAGCGACGTCTCGCCTCACCAGATCGTACATCAGGTTCTATTCCAACCGTGCAGAGGCGTGTCATTGTCATCAGAGCAACCTCTTTGGTGTAAATATCAAGGAGAGTGAGAGTAAGAACGACTTACATGGCTCTGGTTGTTTCGGTTTTTATTCCTCCTGTTATGTTGTTCTATTTTGCGGATAGCTGCCAATTTATGGATTTTCGGTACCCAGACAGTATGCTCTTTTGACTCTGTTTTCTAAGTGTGAGTTCCATGTTAACTTGTTGTCAAAGGTGCTACCTAAGTACTTCACTTCTGTTGAAAAGTTTTGTTTTGTGTTTTCTGTAAGTTTTAATTCCATTTTCATCCTTTTCCTTGTGAAAAGGATTATTTCTGTCTTCTTGGGATTGATAGACAGTGAATGACCCTTGCACCACTGTTCCATAATTGTTCTCAAAATTCCCTATTTGCAGAGTAACCAGGTCATCTAAGGTTTGTTCCAACACAATAGCAAATCGGTTTACGTACTGTCGGGATTCTGCGCAGTCTAGATTTGATGTTCCAACAAAGCTCGGACTCAAAACTGTACAAAAACCTAGTGTTCCAACATACTCAAACCTAATCACAAACCAGTTTCTGTACTGTCAAATCAGTTCCTGGGTCTGAATAGGAACGAATTGTCAAGACATGCGCAAAACGAAAGTTAGCTCGTAAATAAATCACGATCAACTCTGGAAATGTCGTGATTATATTCGTTTTGATAGCATCATCGATCATAGTCTCGATCGTAATTTAGTTTTTATTCATTATCATTATTTATAGTATACCTATTATTTTATGAGTAATGAGTGTAGAAAGTGAAAAAAACTATTATTCTGACTTACATACAGTAGAAAAATAAAATAAGTTAATGTACTAACCAATCGAATAATCAAAATTTATAAATCTTTTAATGAGTTTTAATTTTTTTTAATTACCAAATTCAAAATTTAATATCTGTTAATGTTTTTTCTACTTTTACGTTATTGATAGTGTGTCTGACAACAGAAACATGTGTTCCAACACAACCAAGTTCCGAATTCAGTCTCGATCATCGACAGGTCGTGGACTGGTCGTCGACTATCGGTCGTCGACAATAAGTTGTGGACTGGTTTGTGTATGGTTCCAAGATTGTTGTTGGAACAAATTTCCCTATTTTGTAGTGACTGTCATTATTGTACCTACAGTACTTATTTCGTTATTACAATAATCTATTTGACATAATGAACATGGTAAGAATTTTCTGTCTGCCATTGTTACTTTAGTATGTGTTTAATTCTTATGAACCAAACAGCAAAAACTGAATAATTTTCATACATTTCCCAGTGGATTAACTTCTCTTGCTTTGGTACATACGAAAACTCATTCAGTTTCGCTTCTTTGGTAGGTATTCTTTGCCTTAAGTCACATTGTCATTCTTTTTATATACAGTAGGATCGAATAATATAAACAAATAATTACAATATAACAGCAACAAGTAGAATTATCGAAAAAGTGTACATATTTTTATATAAGCTCGAATCGGTTTATGAGCATTACTGTTCATGCTAAGGAAATGATGTAAAGTTTACGCATCCGTCAATAATCTTTTATTGCCGATAACTTTACTATGCCCATCCAACCAAGTGCCAGAAACCTAGCAAAGCGGAAAAATACACTTTTAAACCATTATTTCAAATATTTAATTACTTGCGGATTCAGCGCTGCGGTGCCGGATGCAGCAGGCCAAAAAATGTACTGGATCCAGGTGCATTGCTATATGAGGTATCCAGCAATTGAAATCGTTAGTCCGAACTACCAAAACAACAAAAAAAAGCTTTACACATTTAAATAATTGAAAAAGAAAAATGTATTGTTTATACTGTATTTACAGTATTTATTACCTACTAATTATATTTATGTAAAATTGGTGATCCTTAAATAAATAAACATATTTATTTTACTAAATATATCACAAAAATACGTACTTTTATAGTTTACTACTTTCGATTGCCATACTTTTATTACATTTCCGAGACCTTACTCTTCCTTATCCTTTTAACAAAGTATGCACACAGTAATTGTAAATGTGGTGTCTTTCAAATTTTAAAACTACCTAAAACTTTTAAGACCACATTTTTTTATATTTGATACTAACTTTAGTTTCAGCTCTGACGTCAGTATCCTCGTAACGGAAGCTTCCCCCGAAAGCCTTTCGCTAAGGCCCCCATTGAATAGACAAAATAGTGAGTCAACCATAGTGCAAGTATTGGTACACAGAGAAAGTGAAGAATACAATAACGAAGAGGAAGAAGACGAGACTAGTTGTCATCGAATCGCCGAAGACGACGCCTCTGATACGCCCGAGACAGAGAACGTTCCGACTGACGTAGTTGTAAACTTAAATGATGACGATAGGTCGTGCAGCTGATCTTTGCTGAATGACCAACAGTCTTCGGAATATTAAACTAAAATTAGGACGTTTGTAAGCATTTGATACGATAACGAATTTAAAATCATCTGATTATATAAAGTAGTAGTTTCTTAACAAGGCGACAGTCGATGATGCGAAATAAATTTGAGGGGTCTAGTTGAAAAGTGCATGTACAAATGACCACATTTTACAGGAACTTCCAACAAAGTAGATTTATTGCTTATCTGGACTATTCTATCCGTTACATTAATTTATAATTTTATTTGGAGGTTGTATAATTTGAAAGTAACAACAAATTCATATATGCTTTTTATTAGAACTTTTATGAAAAAATACAAATCTTATTATTTTAAATATTGCGATATTAGGTCCTTCTTCTTCGAAATTTTTCACAAATTCTTTCTTTATCAACTTCTTGGTGCTTCTTCTAAGATATAGCGATATAATTTTAGATCTTGGTTGCTCTTCCAGTTTTCACCTTAATGTTAAATGACTTGTGTTAAGCTGGTGGAGATTGTACAATTTAAAACTAATTATTTAATGAAGATTTAGTTTCCCGCCTATAGTGTTTTACTTGTTTCAGAGAACGTAGTGTATTACTGGTTGCATACCAGTAGGGGATTACTATACAACAAAAAGAATCGACTATTTTTATAAAAAAAACTTTAGTTTAATAGGATCAATTACATCTGGTATTATCATCAAGATTAAAGTAAATTTAAAAATTTAAATAACGTTACAAATGATACACAAATTATGACGTTATTGTAACTTATTAATTTATTTTATTCTTGACGATATCAGATGTATTCAGTCCTTGTAAACAACAGTTTTTATAAAAATGTTCGATTCTTTTCGCCTTTATACTAGTGAGCCTTGTGACAGGCTTCTTGCTTCACCTACTGTGAAGTAGGAAGTCTGCTTGGCGCTGTGGTGGAGAAATCAGACACTAGTTTTGGTAACACAGGTTGCTCTGCAACCCTATAGTACACCAGAGTGTACTCAAGATAAACTAAGTGGAGTTAAAAATCCTTACCATTTTATTTAATAAACTAACTCACACATGGCTACTCCAGGTTTAAAAAATAATAAGATATTGTACGTTTTACTACAAACTGGTGCCATATTTAAATTCGTCGAGAAAAATTATATAAGAAACTAACTTTACCCAAAATTCTTCAAAATTGGAGATCGTACACTTTAAAACTAGACCTGTCACTTCTTATTTCCAATTTATTACAAATATAAAACTGCCATTTCAGATTTAAAAAATCAATAACATTATTTTATTTTAATTTCTAAAAATTATTAATTATAGAGTTTTAATGATATCAATGATTAGATAATTATTTCTTCTACATTTCAATTATTATGCGATCTACTTCTATTTTTTTTACATTACCATTAATAAATTATTATTGTTGACATCCCTTTAAGGGCGCTTCTCTCTACACCCCCTTTACTTTAATATGCTCTTCTTATTTTTACTTTACACCCATTATATCGTTTTGTTTTATTCTCTTTATAGTATAAGATCTGACTGTATGATTTCTGGACTAATCTGTTCTTTAATCATAATACATTTTTTATAAATAATAGTTGTCTTTCAAAATATGGCGGCAAATACTTTAGGTAGAACTTGTTTTTCTAATTTAAGGTATATTTTTGTTATTTATGATTATAAAAGAAAATTCCTTCTATACAAGTTGTTTGATGTGTAATTCTCTATAATTCTGGTCATATACATGATTTCTCTAAAATGGACCGTAATAGAGAAATTTGAGGGTAATTGCAAAATTTATTTTTTTTTTCTGTATTTTCGTTAACAATGAAGTTATAAAATAATGTTTTAAATAATTTTTATCTGTAGTTCAAACATAGTTTTATTAGATGAGCCGTACGTTACAGGTATATTTGAAGGTTTACTTAAATTTCCATATTGCGGTCCATTTTAGAAAAATCATGTATGGTACATAAATTATAGAGAAAAACATTCTCAAATAACTTTTGTTAAAATATTTTTATTATAATAAATAACAGAAATATATCCCATGCAACATCATGCCGTCATTATGACGTGATTTTTTGGTGTTCGTTACGTCATTTGATGAAATGAAGTCACTCCATATCGTCATTTTGACGAATCGATATCACGTTAAAGTAATGTGTATATCGGGTGTCCTAGGCTAGGCAACTGGACGTCATTATCACGAATCTACCTAACGTCGAAGTGACGTCTATATTGGGTTTCCCAAGGTTGGATGGAATTATTAAAAATACTAGGCAGATGAAAGTTATTTATTTAATCCAAAAAACACATGAAAAATATATTATAAAAAATAAATTACACTGGTAAACAAAAAAGTCATGAGCAAGAAACAAAAAGGAATAAAATGACAAAAGAATATTAGAGGAACTGATACAACATACCTAAAATTGTAGATTTGATTTTAATTGGGGGTGGGCGAGCATGCTTTACAATTTTATCATCTTCAGTATCTTCGAATGACAGCTTTCTAGTTGGCACCTGTTTTTTTTTTATTATGTACTTTATCAGCCTTGGAATGTAGATCTGAGGTAACTTCGACTTTTTTTAATTTGGTACATCACTTATCATTCACATCTAAAATAAAAGAACTATTAAAATACAGACGACTGAAAATTCTTAAAGATAGAAAGTAAATTGTGTATCTAGTTGTAAAACCTACCTTCTCGGTATCCATATTGTCTGAGTTTATAATAAAAGTTAATAAAAAAAAGGTATTTAAATCAAGTGACCTCCTACAAATCTTTAAATTTTTAAATAAACTATTAAAAAAATACCCTAAAAGAACTCATAATCAAAAAACAAAAGTGTAACGTTACTCACCTGTCTTATAGTATATTTTTTTTACACATTTCTTTATAAAGGCGGCCAAAAGACTTGTTTTTTACGCAGCGTTAGCCATTTTCTGCTTACCTTACAACCGCCAGACCATCATCATCCGGTTTTTCAAACTCAACAATGCAATACATCTGTAAAATACCAAATTCGGTTTTACATACTTTATTATTTTGACACATTCTCTTTTTTATCTTTTTCTAAAACATCTTATCAAATAAAGTACAAAATGCACCACGTTCACAAGGTCTCGACTGTCACTCACGAGAATCATGAAGATGAGGAAACAGGAAACAACAATGACAACTAACAATTGACAATATGACATTGATAGAAATTTACGAAAAAATAACGTAATTATGGCGAATTCTAAGTGACGTCTATTATGTCATCAATGCGACGTCAAATACACGTTACTGCTTAGGATATTGTATTTCGGATAAATTAATACTAAAAAATTACGTCATAATCTGTATTGACGTCTAAAACGTTGCAAAAACGACGTCAAAGTAACGTCATTAATTGGGATAGTGACGTTTCTGACGAGTAAATCCAAAAAGTTACGTCATAATGACGGACCTTGCTGCTTGGGATCTTAAAGTAGAAAAAAAATACTAATAAAACAACTTGCTGCCATATTTTGACAACCCATCAAAATCATAATTCTCTCTCAATCATTATTTATAAAAATTGTATTTTGATTAAAGAACAGTGTAGAAATCATACAGTCGGATCTGAAATTACTGTAATCTGTTGTTTTTTTAATGTCTAATTCTTGTTTTGTTTTTATTTTTAATTTGACCCAGTTACTTATTTCATTATTCTTCGTTATCTAAATATCCAACTTTCACTCGCGCATATTAGCAATTTATACAATTTTATTTTGTATCCTTCTTTTGAAAAAATGTGTGGTTTTTAAATGTATTGTCTTGTAATTTTTCAACTTTCTTACTTCTGCCAATTATTTCCACCCTTATATCATTCTTAATCTCTTTTGTTTTTTCATTTATAAAAAATGTCATCTTCTCTTCCTCCGCTTTTTTTTCTATTTTATTCTCATTTCAATTTTTTTTTCATTTTTTTATCATCTGCATCATCTCTTCTTTGTCTTCTCTAATCAATTTCTTAATTTCTTCTTTGTCTTTTATTTTTCTCCATTTTGTTCATTATTTGTTAAATATTTTTCTACATTTCATTTCCCATTCGCTCCATTTTGTTTATCATCTGTTCTCTAACGTTCTTCATTTCTTCCTTTAGCATGTACAATATATCATTCTGTTTTAATTTTATTTTCTCGTCTTGTACCACTGTGCTTTTTTGTTTGTTCATCCATATCGCCTTATTCTGTCTCTCACTTCTTCAGATTGTCTCTCCTTTAAACCAACCTTCTTTTCCCCCCTTAAATTCAGTTTATTTCCTGCCTTTCTATTCCTTTGGCATTTTCGTCTTAAAACTACTTTTATCTATTACCATTCATCTAATTTATACAAAAATCAACAAATTAAATTAACGGAAACTCGTAAAAAGTTCTGCCCAAATTCAAATCGCAAATTTTCAGATTAAAAATCCAAAATCTAATCCAAACCGTGCCCCACGTTGGCTTGCGCTACTTAATATGGAAACACCCAGTATCCAAAAAATTAAGATGTTTTCCGACACTCTTAAAAGAGGTGGTTGGTTCTTTAAAAATTTACACAAAAAAATAAATCCCAAATTAAAGTTTTAAAAAATAGTTTCTAGTTACCAGTTAGTTACCAGTTAGTTACCAGTTAGTTACCAGTTAGTTACCAGTTAGTTACCAGTTAGTTACCAGTTAGTTACCAGTTAGTTACCAGTTACCCGTTTCCAATTTCTAGTTTCTATTCTTTATTATTCCTTTGCTCACTCCTGTTCTTCTTTTTTCTCTTGTCTCTGTTTGGTCTCCTTTCGGTGTCTTCTTATACTTTCTCTTGTTACTCTTATTCCTTCTCTAGTAATTTATCTTTTTTACTATCTGATTCATCCTTCTCACCCCAATCAAATAAATCTTTCTTTCTGTCTTTATTTCAACGCTCCAACTCGACAACAATCAAAGCGTACAAGATCCTTCCAACTTTTCTATATCTATATTAACATGTAAAAATTACAGAGAGTTAGCTTTAGAGTTAGAAGGAAACGAATTACATCAGCGTTGCCTGTTTATACGGTCCAAATGCATTGTAAGGTTGGCTGGGTCGTATAAACTAGCATCGCTTATGTTATTCGTTTTCTTCTCGCTCTAACGCTAACTTTATGTAGTTTTTACATTCACTTGCGCAAACCCTATTGGAAAGAGTTTGATAGCCGATACTGTATACCTATAATAGCGTTTGGATTTACAATTTTATGTGGGCCTTCAATGGGTAACCTTAATTTTGAACATTTCTTATTATTTTTACTACTATCATTAAATATCCCCTATTGGATATTGTTCTTATCCTCACCTTTTTTCACATTATTTTTATATTTTTGCTTTGTTCTCCAAATTTTGGTTTTCAGGTTTTTCGTCCACCTTTTTAAATTTATATATTCTCTTTGATCCTAGCTCCTTATTCCTTAATTCTTTTTTCGATAATCTCCTATTTTTCATTCTTTCACAATTTTTGGCCCGTTTCATTTTTGTTTTCCTCTACCTTTTGTTTTCACACTTTTGTTCGGCACTAACTTTATTTTTGATAGTTATATAGTTTTCTTTTTTTTTTAACATTTTGTTTCCTGTCTTCCTTTATTCACTTTCTTATTTTTTTAAATTCTTCAATTATCTTCATTGTAACTTCTGTTATTATCCTCTTTGATTTGTTTTTTATTTTATTTCATTTCTCGATTTCTTCTTCAATTCTTCAATTTTCGTTTTTTTGTTTATTCGTACATATTTCTTTTTTTTTTAATATTTTATTCCCTTTTTTTTGTATTTCTTTTAAAAGTCCTTTTTCTTTTAAAATTTCAAATGCATTATCATGTAAATGTTTAACTTCTATATCTCTGCCAATTATTTCCACCCTTATATCTTCTTAATATCTTTTGTTTTGTCAATTATGTAAAACTAATCTATCTTCCTTTAATCTTCTTTTTTACTTCTATTTCTCATATAGACTTTCCAATTTTTTTTAAATTTTCTTTTCCATTTTTTTATGATTTTAATCATCTCTTTGTCTTTTCTTATAAATTTCTCAATTTCTTCTTCTGTGTTTTCCTCCTTTTGGTTTATTATTTCTGAACTATTTTTATTTATTTTATAGCCCATTCCCTCCATTTTATTCATTATCTAGTCTCTATCTTTCTTCTATTAACCTATATAAGATATCATTGTCTTAATTTTCTTTTGTCTTAGTTTTGTTCTATCACATTTGTTTTTTATCATTTGTTCATCCATGTCTCCTTATCCTATCTATCTGACTTCTTCAGATTGTCCCTTCATCAAACCAACCTTCTTTTTTCCTCTTAAATTAATTTAAACGTCTTCCTTTCACAATTTTAGACCTAGTAAAACTCCCACCTACTACTTTTATCTAATTTATACACCAAAATTGACAATAAATTAACGAAAACTATACAAGGTCTTAACCAAATTCAAATCCCAAATTTTCCGATTAACATTCCAAAATCTAATCCAAAAATTCCTTGCCCCACGTTTACTGGCGCCACTTGACATGGAAACGGTGGTTCGTTCTCTAAAAATTTACATAAAAAAAATAAATAAATACAAAATTTAAGTTTTTAAAACATAATTAGTTTATAGTTTCCAATTCTCCGATAGTTCACTTCTATTCAATTTTTTTAGGATTATTGTTAATTCATCTCCGATGGGTGCTATAATCGCACACTATCATCGAAACTGAACTGCTGTGAATAATGTTTAAAATTTGTTATCGTAACAAATGGTTACAGCCCACTATTCTTAGAAAATGACCGAAAAAGTTGTATAATATCAAGTAGGTAGGTAGGTGAGAGCATATTGTATTACTGTATTAGATTCGTTTTAAAATGACAATCAGTAGATGCAATCGTGGGTACTGTTCTGGTGCAAGGTTTGTGTAGCAGATTTTTTTTCAACGTTTTCTTTTTAAAAGTTCCTATTACTGTAAGACTCTAAAAGAAGGTAGAGAGTGACCACTAGTTAAATATGTAAAAAAAATCAGCTTCGAAAATTTTAAATATTATTGTTGACGTTTGAATTTCTTCTATTTAGCACTACGGGTCCAATATATAAAAATATTGACTATAGTTGTGGATGAATTTTAATCTTTTTATTTTGAATCAACAAGATCGTAATGTTCGGGTTCCTAAAAATTGTTCAAATTAATATTTTCTTGCGATTCAACCTTATGGAAAGGATGGGCTTTACTAATATAGGGAAATTTTAGGGGTTTTTTAAAACTTTCTGTTTTTGCTTAAAGATTTAAAATCTAAAAACATTGAAATTCGACCGCATCTATTTAAGATGTAATTAATTGCTTTTATCAACACCGTTTTCTGCCTTGCATGTGATATTTGATTGATAGAAGTGATTTATGAAATGTATATCGGAACAATAATTGTGCCTGCAATATAATAAAATATAATCAGGATTTCTTGAGTAATGATGACAAGGATTGCTAAAAAATATGAAAGAATATTTTTAATTGCCATAAAACGTTAAATTATGAAAATATAGTATTATAGTACATTGCAAGATAATCTAGAAAGCGCAATAATCTGGCAACCCCGTATACCTCATTGTAAGTATATACTTTCGTATGAGGAAGTAAAGTCGGGGACTCTATACTGCATAGTTTAAACTACTCTTTATACTTGACAATCGAATGTAGAGGAATTCATGGGTAAAGGATAGACGCATTAGAATCGGTGGATGGGTCATTCGGGATCTATTAGATACCGTGGAAAACTATCACATAGGAGTAATTCTTGAATTTAGGCCGTAACCGAGCGTGATGAAACCTTCTCGACGTTAAATCTATTCACAAAGTTGAATAACATTGACTTCACTCTTTTCATGAGAATACCACTCAATTACTACGTCCCAAACACGATTTTCTGGCCCTTAAGGAATCATTTTCCCGGTCCCAAAGGGGGAATTCCAGTTGGCCATAAACTTTTCGAGCACAGTCTGAGTTCGAGAACTAGGACATAAATAAGGACATAAAATACCACTGTAGCGATTGCAACGTCCGAAGCACGATTTTCCGGCCCTTAAGGGGCCATTTTCCCGGTCCCAAACGGGGAATTCCAGTTGGCCATAAACTTTTCGAGCACGGTATTCATTCCAGAATTCAAAAGTACATAAAAATACCACTGATGCCATTACGACGTTCAAAACACGATTTTCCAGCCCCTACCGGGCCATTTTCCCAGCCCGCACGGGGAATTCCAGTTTTCCGTGAACTTTTCGACCAAAAACCCGATTTTGGCTTTAGAATGCACCTTCAACCACGCCTCATCTCGGAATCCACCTATCATGCCATATAGAGGGCATTTTTGGCCCCTGGGGCCAATTCCGGACGTGGAGGGCCATTTGTGAGCTCGGGATCCGAATCAGCGTCAAAAAATCCATGAGAATACATATGTCCGACCGCCAAGTCTGAACACTTTTTATTTGTGGGGCTGTGTAATTCAGAAATGTCGACTTCCATATTTGGTGTTTGAGATGATACAACAGAATTGGTTAATATAGATTCATTTTCCTTATTTAGTATTTTGTTAATAGAAAGTTTTAGCTCAGAAACTTCTTTAATAAGGGCTGAAACTTTGTAAAAACCATCCTCACAGGTTTCACAAAAAAACTTCAACTTACGTTTCGTTTTGAGTTGCATACATTTTACTTCTGATGCAGTTAGGTTCCCACAATCGATGCAAAGAAAAGATCTGCAGCTATCACATTGCCCATTATCAAAGGTTTCATCACATTTTGTACAAACTTCCATCATTTATGTTTTACTTTTATATATGTATTTTACTTAAGCACTGTCTAGATATTTATGTTATCTGTTACTCAAGAAATCCTGGATTGTAGCAGGTTTGGAATATATAAAACGTGCATATCTTGATACTTAAAAATACAAAAAAAACTCTTTTCTAGATAATCGCTTAGAGCTTGTAGTGCGTGTAAATAAAATCAGAAAGTACCTAGAACAACTTCCAGTTATCTATTATAATAAATTAGAAATGTTATACAGTATGCTCTATTTTGATATAGCCGTTTTAAGTTTGTTACCGAGCGCACTCGTGTTTATAGAAAACGTTTCTGTAGGTTTTTCAAAATACGCCTTGCAGTTTTTAACTTAAACGATATAGTAGTACTATAAAAAAGTAGGTTTTTTTCGAAGAGCGATTTTCGGTAAACACGACAAGCGATTTTTGTTGATTTGTATAAAGCAGTAGGTTAAATTCTAAAAGAGAAATGCCGAAGGCGTTCAAAGTTTTTAAATATATATAGATATGTATAGTAAAATTTTAAAGTTGCTAGTTATAGTTCAAATTTTATGGGTTGTATTTTATTTCATGTTGAATATATTATAGAAACGCAGGTTATTATAAGGTCAATTATTATAAAAAAATATTGTTAATTTATATAAATGATAAAAATGTACCTATACAATCATAAAGAGTATTAGAATAGATCATGAAAACTTAATAAAATAGTATTTTAATTTTTCTTGTCTTTTTATCAATAAAAAATAAATAGTACGCTTCATTTTTTTACCAATTGTTTTATCTACTAATAAGAATGACAAATAAAACATAGTTACTTAATTTTTGCATTTTTATTATTTCCCTTTTATACCCTAAATGAGAACAAGTAAATAAACTAATAAAAAAACACAGCTGTTCAATTCTATTTTTCATAAAGGCTATGCATTGAATTTTCAAATAAATCGAAGACTCTGTGTTTCAAAACCATTTGAAACATATCAAAGACGGTCCTGTGCTCGCGAACCCAGGTGTTCATTGTTGACGGCTAAGAACAAGTGTGGGCCAAGCGACTTCGGCGCAAAAAAATATAGGCTAACTAGCTTAGGTGACGTAGTCATATGTGTATTTCTCTTTAAAAACAACATAAAACGCCAGAAAGGTCCGTGCTTTCATGAAATACAGATCGGTTCTCACTAGCATCATGACAATTCTTTTCTGTTATACAAAAATCACTTAAGTTAAACAAAATAGTTGCAGCTATCCCCGACAGGAGACAGTCCATTTGGTAAGCTTGCCTCAGGGCCGTATTTAGATTCAACTGTTAGTAACCTACAAATCCAACACTCTTTGAATATTTTTTTAAATAAATATCAGTTCAGTTAAATATCTTGGCATATTTTTGAAAAAAACACTAGGAAGTAAAGGTTCTGGAAACTTATCTATTTCCTGATGACGCGTCTTCTATAATTTCTTTGGAAACTAAAATGTTTTCCATGGAAACCAAAGTTACTGGTATCGATACTATTCTTTCGATACTGGGTAATTTAGTACTTGATACTTTGCTTTCATTACTTTACCCATATCGATACTACTTTTTTTTTTCGATACTACTACTTCCGTTTCGATATTTTACTAGTTGTGACATTACATTACAATACATACAAAAAAAGTGTATTGCAGGATCACTTTATGGTATGTCGGCTTACTCTATGACTTTTTTGTTTCTTTTTTTTTAATTGTTCTACACTCTTCCGATATTAACATCGATACTTTAGTTCCAATACCCTTTCGATACTTCGGTTTAGATACTCTTTTCGATACTTTACCGGTATCGATACTTTACAGGTATTGCAACATCCCTACTGGCGACGCAACCCCTGAGGATGGCGCTCCAGGCTATGTAACCTCGTATAAACCAGACTCTGGGAGCGAAGCCGAATCAGCCCATTCCTCTAATATTTATAAAATTAACGGAAACTAAATTTTGTACCGGTATAACTATTTTCGAAACCAATATTTAGAATATTTAAGTTTTAGTTTAACGGTATATTCAGTATTAATATTTCTTAAAACAAATCAAATTCTATTTATTAAATAAAACTATTCCGAGCTAATATTTAATTGAAATGAATTAAATTATTTTATACGGCTCTCACCGTTATTGTAAAATTAGCAGACAAAATTCGGATTTGCTTCCAAAATACTGATAAGATTGCAAATAAAAAATGTAATAAAAAGAAAATATAAACTCGGGAATTTAACGGACTCCGGCTGGTTTCACACGGATTTCGGACACACGGCTGAATGAATCTACAGGAATAATCTAATTACTTATCGGAATAGTGTACAACAGAAAACAAAAGAGATTTTGGAATTCTAATGGAATTGAAGCGGTATCGCAGTTCGGTCTCAAAACAACTAGTCGCGAGGAGAAACTAAAATTGAATTCCCTCCTAGTGATGTGATCATTTGAATGGTAAATAATTCGAATATTCGATTATTACCATCATTCGAATTAATTTGATTATATCAATATCATTCGAATCATTTAAGACCCAACTCGGTCCTCAGGTGACTTGTTAAAATATGAAATAGAGTGGGCAGCCAAAATTACTTATTTCCTGAACATGCAACGATTTTGCTCCCTCTCTTTTAGCGTATCGCGTTCTGATTGGATAGATCTCTGTCAAGTCGGGGAACTACCAAATCACTCCAATCAGTAAACAGTGCGCCGGCGCCGTAAGATAAAACGTTTGCATGATAAATTAAAGTAAATAATAACGTATGACGTTTTATACTTTGGTGTACTGCGTTCTGATTGGATAGTTAACCTCCTATCCAATCATTGATGATAGTATATAATAAATCATTCAAATGATGACTCGAATACTCGATAAATTGGATTTTCGATCATCCGAGTATTAGATTAGGACGATCATTCGATTATGCCCATCGCTATTTACCATCCGCTCATCGTTCACCAGCTCTCGCGTCGATTTCGAATGCGCGAGATTGGTAGTGGGGACGCGATGAATTTACAGCAATAGGAAATTTAACACCTGGTTGAAATAATATCGATAATTATTTGCAAATCGCGGGAATTATGGAAAATAATACTTTAAAAATCGGGAAACTTTAAGAAAAGGGTTGATCCAGTTAATTAAAAATAGGAATGAATTTTTAGTTCATTACACAATACATGTTTTCTATTTAAATATTTAGTTAAAACGTTTAATACTTTTCAGAATGTTTGTTTAGTTCTATATATATATATATATATATATATATATATATATATATATATATACTCGACCAGCGTATCATGTGACATCCAGCAAAAATTTTGACTTTGTGACATCCACCCTTTGCAAAGACTTTAGGAAAAAAATAAAAATATGACTTCCTTTAATTAAAAAAATATTATGGCTGAGCGAAAAATATCACAACCATACACATTTTAAAAAAATAAAACGTCCTATCGTTGTGAGATCCAAAGTATACACGGTATATATTTTTATTAACAACACTTTGTGACATCCAGAAAAACCTTGCATCTTGTGACATCCAGTTGTTACGTCACAGTATACCATTTCTACAGAAAAACTGCCATTCTTATAACATCCAGCAAGTATATAGATACATTTTTAAATTAAGCATCTTATTACATCCTAAAACATTTAACACGTTCAGAGCCAAAGCCGACCCTCAAATTCTACGATTTCTTATTGTTTTTATTCCAATGTGATTTCTTTTGTTGTTTTGTATGTGATAAAATAATTAATTCCATTTTAAAATTATTTTCTTTTTAGTTTTTGATTGTGTATATTTTTAGATACACTGGCACAAAAAATAGTTTTCGATGAAGTAACTTCTTGATATTTTTTTGATATGTGGAAATCCGTTATAGAGATTCGGTACAAGCTCTCCCTTTCCCAATAGTTTTACCCTTTACCCACTAAAATCACCACCTAAGCAAGTTATCGCCGGCCTCCTGCTAATATCTTTTACATGTTCGTTGGAACTTATATGGTTGATTCTCCAGTTTCAAGGGCATTAACATGACCAGTTTGCAAACCTAACCTAAAATTACCTGAGAAGTACCCAAAACATAAATCCAGCGGTGTTTATTATTTTTGCGCATAGACCACTCACGGACTTAAAATTCGATCCATTCAAAATAATGATTTATTTAAAAATGCTCTAACTTTCAAATGCGGAGGCTGATTTAGATAAAATACTGTAGTTTTAACATTATTATTCGGACACCTAAAAGTAATTTAGTACTCGCCGGATATACATGGGGGAAAAGAAAACAATTTTTTCCTCTACTTTTGACACACCCTGTAGGTTAATTCTGCTAGCAGATCTGCACACAATTAACTTTATCAAGAAGACTAATTTGTTTCCAACATTTTGTTTTTTTATTTACCCCGATATCTTAATTTGTTTGTGAAATGTGACGGTTTAAAGAAAATGTAACATTCTTAATTTTTTATTCAGTTTTAGCAGAGTAATACATAATTTTATAAACAACTCAAACAACAAATAAACTTATAATTATTGCAAATTAATAACGGGTTTTTTCCCCACGAGCGCGAATAACTGCCTCAATGCGTCATGGCATACCCTCTATTAGATATCGAATCTTCATCTGGTCAATCTGATCCCATTCTTGGATCAAAGCATCTCTCAAAAAATTTAAAATACTTGGAGAAGGAACTCGGTTATGAACTCGTCTGCCCATCATGTCCCAGACGTGCTCAATTGGACTGAGGTCTGGGCTACGTGATGGCCAGTTCATCCTCTGAATTTCTGTTCCGTCCAAATATTGAGATACAATCCTAGCAATATGTGGTCAAGCGTTGTCATGCATAAACATGAATTCATTTCCTATAAATGGTGCAAATGGAATTACATATGGATCTAGCACATCACGAATATATCGGTAAGCTGTCATTGCTCCGCCGCCAACAATGACTAAATCAGTACGCGCTTATGCCGCCCCAAACCATTACCGATCCTCCTTCATAACTGAGTCTTGTGGAAAAATTTGCTTGGTCAAACCTTTCGCCTCTTCTTCGGTATATTCTTTCACGGCCATCAGGAGAACGTAAACAAAACCTTGACTCGTCAGAAAATAAAATCTTACTCCATTCATCGATATTCCAATGTTAATGCTCCCTGGCAAATCAAAGACGTGCTGTTCTGTGATTCCTAAGTAACTCTGGACCAGTTGCAGGTCTTCTTGAGCGTAATCCATGTTATCGTAATCGCCTTCGAATCGTTATTTCGTTAACAGCTAGTTGACG